ATGAGACGCTAACTAAACCAAATCCAATCAATGACTTGACTTTTCCCTGGAAATGCATCCATCCCGTTTCTGCCTCATGGACAGGATGGATGCTAGAGAAGAGACACTGTACCTGCTGAGCAGGATGTGGGTCAAGCTGAAGGGTCTGCCCAACGCCCACCCTGTCGAACTGGGAGCTTTCTTTATCCTCTTAACCTTCATCTGTGAGTCCAAGTCATTTTTTTACTACTAATCTTCTTTATTCTTTAAGATTGAACTGGTCATGATACTGTTTCTTTGCTCCCCTGCAGTGATGGTGCTGCTCATGTCAGTTATAACTTGCCTGACCTGTTGCTGCTTTCGCAAGACCAAGGTGAAAGGGTCAAACATTTGAGCAAATCTGCACAGGCAATCCCTGGACATCTAACTCTCAAACCAAGCACCTAAACACTGGAAGCTTCACTGCAAAGCGTCCTCAACAATGCATAAAAGGCTTCCTCTGCAGCTCTCTCAAGCAAGCACCATGGAATAAAAACTTGGTCTGAGAGACATGGTATTATAATTAAATAAAGCAGAGATCCAAGATTCAACTCAGTGAAGCCTGATACAGGGTGTGTTCAGCAGCAGTGAAGAGGCCCAACCCTCACATAACAAAGGACATAACAAACAGAGGAGGATGTCCTGCCACTTTCCTAAAGCGGCCAGACTTTCAGGAGGATCTGCATTCCTCAGAGCATCCCTGCACTTTAAAGGACAACAAAAGCACCTCAGAGAAAGGCAGGGCCATCCCCAACTGTGTTTAATAATGTAGAAAAAAAATACACCGAATATAAGAGATTAAACATGTAGAACGATAAAAACAAACTGCAGAGCGAGCTGCATGGTGAGATGATGGGGAAAGCTGAACCGATTCATTAATGTTTTTCTAAACTTGTCTATGTGTCATTCTTAAAGAATGAGAAGTAGCAGCCAGACACAAGAGTTACAGTAGGTACGATCCTTCTGAGGCAAAGCTGTTCTCAAACCAAAGTCTCCCTTGACACACTGTAAGACTAGTCCACCCTCTGCTGTACATAAACTGAAATAGCATGTAAATAATGAAAGTTATGTTTAGTGTGCATAACTGCATGTTGTATTTGTGCAAAGGGGAAAGACATTATTGACACTTAGTGTTCCACTTACTTTGATTTGTATGCAATAAACAAAAGATGACTGTGTGCACCGATTTCCTCACTTACCCTTCTTGCTCACAGAAAAACACCATGGCTTCAAAGTCTGTCACGGCTGCTTTGTCTGTCTCCTTTTCATAGCCACGTTTTTGCTGCAGACAAGTTGTTCAGAGATGTTCACGAACCTTGAAATGACTGTGAATCTTTACATTTTCAGGGTTCTGTTGTCATGCTGACCTGTCTGCGGGCGATCTCCTGGCCAATGAGGAATTTAATCTGCTCCTTATCTTTCGGAGAGTAGTATGTGCGACAGGAGGAGGGCAGGCCATCTCTCCCTGCTCGTCCAGATTCTTGGTAGTAACTGGCCAGGGACTTCGCGAGGTTCCAGTGAGCTACAAACCTGAGGAGTTCACCAAAATATTAGCAAATCCAAACCCAAACTTAACAAAGCATTCAAAACTTCAGAATTATTGCCTCACCTGACATTGGCCTTGTCTACACCCATACCAAAGCTAATGGTCGCTACAATGACCAGCACCTTCCCCTGCATCCACTCACTCTGGACCTCTGTGCGATCTCCTGCCTTCAGACCTGCAGAAGCAGGATTCAGTTGTTTAAGCCCAAATCTTGGTGTTGTCTTATCTAACATATGCTTATGAGAAAAATGATCTCACCTGCATGATAAGGTTTGGCCAAGACTCCAAGTTTGGTCAGCTGGTAAGCCACAGTTTCACAGCCTTCCCTGGTCCGACAGTACACAATCCCACAACCCTGTTCACAAATAATACAAAGCTTAAAGAAACCAGGGTTTTCACATTCTTATTCAAAGGAAAATATCAGCTAGTACTGAGTGATATGCAAACAAGTATTTGATAATACATTAAAAAACTGAGTTTGATTGATATGAGAGTTTGGAAAATTCAATGTATCAGGTCATACAACAAAGATTCTAGAAAGATTCTTTTAAACTTGTATTTTAAAATACAGTGACAAAGATGTGCAGTGAACGGATCATTTTACGGTCTTCTGGGAGTTTCTAAATCATGTTAAACACATCTTTGACATTCCTGTACTGCATTGTACTGTACTTGGTACGAATTAGAGGGATTTAGGGATCGAAACATGTCTGAAGTTAAGACATGACACAACTGATTTGGGTACTATGTTTATCGGTACATGAAAAATATTATACCCAATATTATTGGCTGATGTCAGCTTGCCAGAGAGGTATTGGTATCAGCATATATCTTAGCTAATAAGTACACCTATTCTAGTTAGTCCACCCATCTTTGTTTTATTTTGCTAAATTGCACAAACAGATTTTTCCTCACATATAGGAACACAGACAAATATATACCAACACCTTAAGCTTTCCATGGTTATTCTTGTGAGATATTTCTGTTTATATCCTTTCAAATGAGTTGTTCTTTCTCTACAGCTCCAACATTTGTGAAAATATTAGGAAACACAACATACAAGAAGGAGCACAGGCACACGGGAAATCCCAGCATCCCAGAATCCAGCTTACTGACCTGCCCGTTAGACCCGCTGCCCATTGCCAGTGCTTTCTTAATGAAGTCATGGAGGTGGACGTAGGGGTTTGGCAGCAGCTCCCTGAAGATCACATCATAGTGCAAGTTACTGCGAAAAACAGGTGTAACAAAAGACAGTGGCACACGCAGCCTCAGGGACTTAACAATATCCTCTTGTACATTATTGGGTGCTGTCGCTGTCAGGGCCAAACAAGGAACCTCTGGCAAACGATCACGCAGTTCGCCCAGTTTGAGGTAGTCCGGCCTAAAATCATGGCCCCACTGAGAGACGCAGTGAGCCTCGTCCACTGCCAGGTAGCACAGCAGGCCGCGGGAGCACAAGCCTGTCAGGCAGGGCTGGAACGAGGGGGATGCCACCATCTCTGGAGTAATGTAGAGCAGCTTCAGCTTCGGGCTGCTGCTCTGCAGGTCGGTCAGGATCAAACGGCGCTCAGCTGCTGGGAGCTTGGAGTTGATGGAGCAGGCAGGGATGTTCAGATCTCTCAGGTGGTCCACTTGGTCCTGAGGAGAAACAGAGGAAAGAAGCAACACATAACTAAGACTGCACACATAGTCCTTCGTGGGGGTTTGCAGTACTAGATCAGAGCCTGACCTGAATCAGAGCAATGAGCGGGGAGATAACCAGAGTAATCCCCTCAGCCAGCACTGCAGGCAGCTGATAACAGAGAGACTTTCCTGCTCCAGTGGGCATGCACACAAACACATCCCTGTCACCTACAGAGAGACAACAGCAGTCACCATCCTGCCAAACAGCCTCTCCTTGACGACGACAACACTACCTGTGAGGGTTAAATGCATGAACTAAGCAGACTGATCGCTGGCTTACCTCTAATGACAGCTTTAATGACATCTTCTTGTATTTTAGACCTGAAATTATCGAACCCAAAGTGGCTTTTTAAAGCCTGTTTTAAACTTTTTGTCATCGTATTTTCGTCTGAGAACAGCCCTAACAAACTTCTGACGTCGTCGCGCACTGATGACATCATTAAAGTCGTCAAAAACCGAAACTAATAAAATAAACGTATGAGAAATTTTGTATTTTTGATCTCATATGATATATTTATATACTCCACTTAACATTTATAATTTGTTACACTTGTATTATTATTGTTATTGTTAAACTATATGCCGCGTGTTTTATTTGTTTTACAATAACGTTTTCTGATTGGTCCAGCTGCCTGTCTTGTTGGCGCTTCTTAGAGTCTAATGGCGGTTGGCAAACAATGGAATGGTGCATTACCACCACCAACTGAATCGGAGTGTAAATCAGGAATCTGACATCTTCCCTAACCCCAATAATTAAACAGTTGAGACAACTAAGTATTTTCACTTTTAACTTAAATTCTCAGTTTTGTTTCTCTTACTGAAATCTTTCTTATTGTCACTCTGATAAACACTTGACCCACAACAGTATGACAGTATGACTGGACAATAACTCTCAATGCAATACCTGTATATATACATTGTACAGATTATACAGATCCGTACATGTCGCTATTTTTAAGTACTCTATTTTCATTCCTATTTATCTCATTTCAGTGAGCATTCCATTGTCTGTCTGCATTGTTTACTGCCTGTTTATACTGCTTATTTTGCATTGCATTTTGTGCAGTATAACATAACATACTCAATTGTTTCTTCTTCTCCACAGAAAGAAAGTTGATGTTAGAGTTGTTCTAATTGCTCTTGAACGCTGTCTTAAAGCCTGATATTGAATAAGCTTGTTTTTTTAAAACATATTTGCTGCTGATCCATATACCACACTCCTATAATCCAGTACTGATCAAATCAGTCCAATGTAAATGGTCTTTAATGCATTTCTTTCTGCTTCCCAATCACTTCCCACTAAACGCTGTGTACATCCCTCTATACACAGCTACTTTTAAATACCTGTGGTTGAAAGTACTCAGATCTTTTTATTAACTTTAAGTAAAACAGTACCACAGGATATGAACAATCCAGTATTAACTTAAAGTTCAAATTAATCTAAGTGCCAAAGGAATGTTAAGACACCCTTTATAAAGATTTATAAACTGCAATAAATGACTAACAAATTGTTCAGTAATTTTTGGGTTGCTATGGCTTTTGACAAAAAGCCTCCTCCAGCAAGACACTTGTTTAAACTTAAATGTGCGAGGAAAGACAGAAGACCCCTTAAGTTTGCAGTTATAAATGTTAAGTCATTACTAAAGGGCAATGGGTTTCTCAGTTTGTAATAGCATGTTTTAACATTAAATTGTTTTTCTTTCTCTGCCACCTGATATTTGAATATACTTTTGCTAAAGCGTCCAGTGCAGCCCAGAACCAATAAACAGACCAAAGCTTCAGACATACACTTGGTGCGTTTATTATTCAGAGTGCATTCTCACTGCAGGATTGACACTGCACATTACAGTACATTAATGCTCAACTTTTTTTAATATATTAAAATACATTATGTGAGCAAAGGGTAACACTATAACCATAAAGAGAAAGTGGCAGCAACAATCACATTCATCACAAGCAGCATAAAGCATGGTCACATGGTTGAGCTATTAAATAGCACAATGATGGTCTTTTACATCAGGATCGCTGATTTCACTTACATTATTATAGAACCTGATTCATTTTACTTTATCATGATGTCTACTGGGTTGTAAAGGAAGAAGGGGGAGATGAAGGAAACTCAACCCCACAGGCAGGATGTGGAGCAGAGACACTGGTTTTTAGCTGCTGGGGACCTGATCACCAGATCCTTGATGATCTCCACCGTACCGAACAAGGGGAACAGCTTCTCAGTGAAGTGTTCATTGTAGGTGTAAATGTGGAAGTGTTTGTCCACGTCATAGAAGGACAGCTGGCCGCAGTCGTAGTCGAGGTAGATGCCCACCTTGCGGGGGATGAGGTCTGGTGGTAGGGCAGTGAAGGGCACGGTCAGCGCCTTCAGCTCTGTGCCCCTCTCCAGCCGCAGGGTCAGATACCCTGTGTTGGTGTTCAGCGACTTGAAGCCTTTCCTCAGGGCTGACTCTTTAGCCACTCCCAGCCGCCAGTCCCGCTCACCTACCTCCACTTCCCAGTAGTGGCGGCCGGAGCTGAAGCCCTCCACCCCAACAGCACACCACCAGCCATCAAAGCGTTGGTGGTAGTTGGGAACTTCCTTCCTCTCAAAGCCACAGCGCATCCTCTTCTCATCACAGGATATGAGCAGATCTGGGTTGGCTGTGTCTAGATCCAGAGTCACCTCAGCTACAAGGAAAAGTAAAGAGGCTTCAATTACCAAACCGGTTCAGAAAAGATTACACCAACTACAGTAAAACTTTGATTAAACAAACGCCGTACCTGCAGCATTTGACATCCAGTCCCACACTGCAAAAAAGCACAAAAACCAAGACTTCAGTAGTGAGAGATGATGATGAAACCAACAACACGATGATGTAAAGCTGATTTTACAGAACTGTGATGTCTGTGATTAGCCTAAGCATTAGCATGGCTAATATAAATATTCCTCGCAAAGCTGTTCCTTATGACATGGACATCATCTGCACTGAAGTGTTTGGATCCTGGTTCATCTCAAAAACCCAAATTAAGATTCTAGCTCCTGATCCCTTCCTTCATCATCCACCCAACATGAGAAAAATACTTACTTCACATAATATAATTGGATATGTAATGTTATTGTATAAAACACATCTGGTTTTCAGTATATCTCTCACCTGGTTGAGGAATGTAGGATATGGCACCTGAAAGGAGATATCACCAAAGTTATAACATTTCCAAATTTATAACAAAATTCAACTTGACTGAGTATTAATTTACAAACCGATCTTCTGAGTCCGCTGCTTCCACATGAGCCACTGCTGTGGTATGGTATCCTGCAACACACACAAGATGATTTGTGTCACACCTAAGCAACTACCTGATGAACCGCAGCTCAAAGTGTTGATCATACTCTGTGTATTATAACCTGGGCTCCTACCTTATCTAGACACTGTAGTATTAAAGTCCACATGACCAGCTCCATAGCAGTCAGCAGATTGGGCACACGTCCCCACCGCCAGGCTGACTGCAGGTCCTCCAGAACCTTTACCACAGGTTCACCAGGCCACACACTTTGCTGCAAGATGATCAACATGTTTGGCTTTGAAGGAACATTGAGGTGAATAGGAAACAAGGAATGTTTTTACGTGAGCTTCTCACCTCAGGCTGAGCTCTCAGGTCTTTGATCCAGTTGAGGATCACTGCCTTGGCCTGCAGCAGGTCCTGCTCAGTAATCAGATCAGGCAGTTTGCCCTCATCCATCTCTGGCCAGCCATCAGTCTGCATGGGCCTCTTCTGCAGACACAAAGGCACAGGCGTTCAGTGAAAAAAGCCTATCCATACCTTGAGTAAGCAGAGTTATATTGACTATAGGTGCTTCTTCAGATAAGCACCTTGCTCTCTAGCACCGAGGCCCATTGTAGGATGAAGGCCCTGCAGAGAGAGGTTGGCCAGGTGTCTTCCAGGTTCCAGATGTGCTCGAGGACTGAGGACCTCTGCAGTGGCAAAACAGCAATGGAAACATGGGATTGGTGAAGACAAAAAGACAGGTGAAGAGCTCAGTACTGTGACTTAACTGGTGAATATGATTGAGTTTAATATGTTTCTTACTTGGCTGACATTCAGTGGTCCAACAAAAAGAAGGTTTGTAAGTAATATTGCTGTTGCTCTTTCATGTTGTGTCAGGTTTCAACAGTAGTAATTGGTAGCAATATTTTGCTGCATATAACCTCCTCAGTTCAGACAAATCATCCTTGAATGTGCATGTTATTAGGCAATTCCCTACAGGTGTATGCTGTACACACACAGTTGCATGTGCATAGTGTATACACAAGAGGTTCTACCTGACACACTCGGCTGAAGTCTTTTGCCAGATCCACAACAAATAACTGATCCTCACACAGAGGCTCCCTCTCCTCCTTCTTCTTCTTGTGTGATTCCTGTGTGTGGACATTAAAAATAAAGGAGTTTCTGTGGGAAACGGTTTGGAAAAGGAAAAGACGTTATTTAAAGGACATCAGTGCTGGTTCACCAGTGCTTTAGAGAGTAATAAGGTCAGACTAGAAAGGAGGTGGTCACCGAGCCTAATCAAAATGCACATCGTGCTCTGTTCCTGTCAGCAGAAAAGAAAAGACACCCCTCCCCTCAGGGCTCTCTGCCTTGATTCATCTTATCAACAACTCTGCATATGGTAGCTCTTTTTTCTTAAATAAAACAAGGAAAGTGTGAAAGTTACTCACAAACCATTCTGACAAAACGTGTTACCTTTATCTTGGCTGTCAAGCTTTTGGCCGGCTCCAGCATGAAGTGAAAACACTGCATCATCCTGGCTGATCTGTAAGAGTCCTACGGTGAAACAAATGTTACTTCTGTGTTTTATACACAAGCCAAAAAACAACTTAAGATTATTTCTCTTCTTACCAGCCTTGACACCACAACACAGGACATTACATGCTAATAGAATTTACATGGATGTAATTAGTAATAATTGGATATAGTCTTTTTCATCAAGTGCTAAAGTGGAATATGTCAACTTGTACTTCTGAGATCAGCTTCCTGGTGGTAAACCTTTAAAGCTTTCTGCGTTGAAGCAGAATACATTATTAGTTTTGCTCTGCAAGAGGTGCCACTGTCTCATCCGACCGCTCGTATTCAGTCCTCAAAGGACACATTTTTGCAATCTGTGTCTGTGTTGACTTCAAAAACACCAGCATGTCATGTAAATCATTAAACCCATGAAGGAAAGTCACACAATTAAAACATAACATTTGAATGTAATCAAGGTCAAGGATGTTGTCTCCTTGTCCTTGCACTGTCAGGTATATAAATGACCTAATTAATAACATTTTCTCCTGTGAGACATGAGGAATGTGTCACCAGACCAGACCAGAGGTGATTATTAACTGGAGTAGATTCAAGCAATAAAAAGCAGAGCGTCTTAAAGGTGACTAACCCTGCATGCTCCCAGTGCAAAGCCTCGGCTACCTCACTGATCCTGTCCTTCATCAGTCCATCTCTACTCATTTCTCCCTTTGATTCACCCTCTCCATCGCCACCTGCACAAAAACACTGACTGTGTGTGTGGATGGAGATTCTAAACAAGTTCTTGTGCCAACCCAGACTGAGGAAGATGTGAATGACTGACATAAATAAAGCCTGTCTGTATGTTACTGCCTCCCATTTAAATCTAAGAAGCCTGCGTTTATCTGCAGTGTCATTAAACACAAACATAAACAGTCCTGGTTAGGCAATGAAGTTAATCAGGTTAATTTAATATTTTTTGCCTCATGTTAGTTTAGTCAAGCTATTTATATACTGTATAAAGTATGAAGCTTATATATTGTGTTTGAAATAAGTAGCAGGCCTGTTACTGAGCTAAAGCTAAAGTTACCTATAGAATTAGCTTATTTAAGATGCTGGAACATCGGGGACCGAAAATAAACAACAGGGAAAAGAGAAATGCTCCGTTATAAGTGATATACCGATGTCTGGGGAAAACATGACCACGCAGTTTTTGCAGCGCGAATGGCCCAGTTACTGCGCATGAGATAAACATATACATTATGGATGCAACCTGGCTCCTTGTGCATGGTTCAAACTTTATATCTATAGCTAAGCATGTGACAGAACAATATATTTCATACATTCATGCTGGTAATATCGTGTGACGCGCCCCTGCAGTGCGTCCTTCACAACAACACAATGCAATACGCTTGATCATTACGCGCACATAGCTTACCCCGCTCCTCACTGGGATGATAAAGTAAAGACGTTTTGTTCGCCTCTTGTCTTTGCCACCCAGGATACAAACCGTTTGGACTGTACTATGCTGCAGTGTCTGACCTTGTTTACATACTAGACTGGTCGGAGAGGTTCGGGTTTCTCCGGCAGTGACGAAAGCGACTTCCCTGTGGACAAGGCACGCAGCCATGTTTGTAAGGTCATAATGCTTTGTGTTTATTTTGATATTATTAGCTACTAGTTATACTGCAAATACAGATCTGACATACAAAACATCCTGTTTATAAAACTGAATGCATTTTGAAAAAATAAGTGTGGTGCTGTTCGTTTTATATTGAAAAGATAAGACTAATAAGAGGATATATATTTCTCAATGTGAAATTTATTATGCATTAACGTATCAAAATTAGCATGTGCACATGGATCTCCACTGTTTAGGATAAACAGGAAAGACTAAACAGGAAAGACTAAACAGGAAAAGACTCCCCTCAACTGGTTGGTATACAATATTTGTATGAAAAAATGCTACTATCTAATTGGTCCAAAACTGTTGGGGAGAAGCTGTGGTTTAGACTTAACTCTCCCGTCATTGGTCCCCCATTCTGGTCTGATCT